TATATATATATATATATTTATTTATTTATTTATTTATTTATAAATTACAGACTGATTACCTATTTGGTGTTTAAGAAAGATTTCCCTTTTTTCTCTTTTCATTCAGGTTTTTCTTGTTTTACAACAACAACAAAAATGACTAGATAATACGTGATCATATTAAGTTTCGTAAATAGGAAATAAAAGATTATATTATTGATTCTCAATTTTAATTGTGTCTTTTGTAATCAGTACCACATCTTCCGAACATTGTCAACAATATTATCTACACATGACATGATCACAAAAAAAAATATTTTTAACGAGAGGCAAAGCAGCATAGCAATCACATTCACCGACCTGTTGCTGAGACCCTGTCAATAGCCGCCCATGACCTCCTGATGTTGCTGCTACAGTTGGTGCCACTGATGGTGAAGTCATGGGTGACCACTTTGTAAAACTCTCCACATGGCACAATGAACTGCCAGATGGGAGCGGATGCGGCAAGAGCACTGAAAACACCAGAAGGTCACACTCACTGATCATTCCATTTCACAGTAGAAAAATCAACCAATGATCATGAACTTCTCTGCTGAATTACATCACCTTCCTTAATTAAACACATGGTTACACACTACTGTTAAGCATTTTACTCTTCTAGAATCCCATGGCACTCTAAATATAAGATAGGCCTAATATTCAGTTTCTAGGCATCATACTCCATTAAGTATGGATATGTATGCTGTACTTATGCATTTTAATAGACTAATATTTCACATTTAGATATAAACTACACTAGCAGTGACCTTTAAGCACTTATTAAATGTTTGCAATATCATCTTGAGACTAATACACACCAACCTGCCAAATGAGAGTGAAAATCAACCGTGGCAGGCACTAGCCAGTTTTGTTATGATTTAGAGATTCTGTCTCTCAAACAGAAGCCTCTAACATTAAAAAAGAAAATGTAGAAAGAGAGTTGCACAAGGGATGAGAATTCCCACGTCTTTAAAATTTAAGCACTAAGTGACCCCGCTTTGGGACTGTACATGGTCTTCTGCTTCGTGACTAAGTTGCTGCTGTTTCTAAACGTTTTCACTTTCCAATAATACCACTTACAGTTGACCACAGAAACCATCTGAGCTTTTGCAAAGTCTGCAAAGTCTCCATATTCATACGTGCTAGAAATAAGCTAGTTACCAACAAAAAACAAAGAAGTCAATGTACCTGAAAGCTTCTAAATAAAATAACAAAATGATTAAACAATTTCATCAAAAATAAAGCTTTTGTGATTTAAATTTCACACTGCCAACTCTATCTTTGTTACAAAACCTACTGAATTGCCTTGATTGGATAATGTTAATCAATCGACAAATAGCTATTTAGGCATTGCTTTAGCAAACTAGTGTTCAGTCTGGCTTCATATTGCATGTAATGCCGACTCTTCACGATTCAATGATTTTTATTTTTTTATTTTGCTCGTTAATTACTATCACTCTGAAATATGTCAAATATGGATGTAAAATGTGTTGCACATGGCAATACAGATTAATTTTAAAATGTTCTCTAGGTCGGCAGCTCATTAGCTTTAGGAGAAGAGCTTATATTACTTTCTTGTCATGCACACTAGGGCTCTTCATATTCATTTTCCTTTGCTTTGTCAGATAGATTCAATGAATGAAAATACGGATGCCTCAGGAGTCCTGACAATAAACATGTTTTCTGTCCACGCCACCCTCTAACCAAAACCGAACAAAAACCTGAACAAAAGCTCAGTTCTGAGGGTGAAAGAAAACAGAAGCTTTATGAATATGAATGAAGCTATTTGCATACTGATGTAAATGGGTACAACAACTGACTTATTATCAGACGTGAGTCAGCATTAATGAGGAAATCATTCAGTGAGAATGATTCATACCGACTAGCTGTGAAATCCAACTGCTAAAGTAGAATTTTATTGTTAATGACTTTTGTTGTGTTTTACTCATTCATTTTTCTTGTAAAGTGTGTCATACTTCATTCTAGACCATGTAAGGTTTTTTTTTCATAATTTTTACCACTTCATAGTCACAATTTACAGAAAAACCATGCCATTTATTTAAAAATTATAGGAAAGGTCAGTTCTAGTGTTCTGAAATAAATACATAAATAATTAATGTATCATGTAAACACTGTACCATGGTATATGAATTTGGTAATAATTCTTCAACATGATATGGCACCTGGCAGACATTTCCATCAGTGCTTTCAAGGTATGAACTTTATCAGAAGGTGTATGCCACAGTATGTTCTGTAAGGGAAACCTTGGAAGTGAACTTATCGTACCTTAACAGGCCAGGCTGGAAGTGGTTGGAGGAAGTTAGCTTCATATGGATAATCCACCATGGCTAAGTTCACCCAGGTTTCCTGCAGCCAAGCCTTGAAGCCATACACTTCGTCTGGAGTCTTTAAAGGATTACACAGTCCAAACTCCTGAGACAGCCACTGCAGACCCTCACCTATAAAAGAAAAGCTGATCAAATGAGTCCAAGAAAACCCATAAGCTTCAAAAAGAGAGTTGGTACAAAACAATGAAGAGTCACAAATGAACATGGGTTTAGAACAAAATCCTTCAACAATCAGTGTTGGCTAGTAAAGGAGTACAGATAATCTGGACTACATAATAAGATGATCAAAATCAGCAAAACAAAAATCAAGTCCTTGGAATTTATATTTATATATATAGATCATTCCATTTCACAGTAGAAAAATCAACCAATGATCATGAACTTCTCTGCTGAATTACATCACCTTCCTTAATTAAACACATGGTTACACACTACTGTTAAGCATTTTACTCTTCTAGAATCCCATGGCACTCTAAATATAAGATAGGCCTAATATTCAGTTTCTAGGCATCATACTCCATTAAGTATGGATATGTATGCTGTACTTATGCATTTTAATAGACTAATATTTCACATTTAGATATAAACTACACTAGCAGTGACCTTTAAGCACTTATTAAATGTTTGCAATATCATCTTGAGACTAATACACACCAACCTGCCAAATGAGAGTGAAAATCAACCGTGGCAGGCACTAGCCAGTTTTGTTATGATTTAGAGATTCTGTCTCTCAAACAGAAGCCTCTAACATTAAAAAAGAAAATGTAGAAAGAGAGTTGCACAAGGGATGAGAATTCCCACGTCTTTAAAATTTAAGCACTAAGTGACCCCGCTTTGGGACTGTACATGGTCTTCTGCTTCGTGACTAAGTTGCTGCTGTTTCTAAACGTTTTCACTTTCCAATAATACCACTTACAGTTGACCACAGAATATCTAGCAGGGATAACATTTCAGAAACTTACTGCAAAGGTGGCCACATATCACAGTACCATGCTTGAATACACTGAGCTACACAGAACAAAAAAAATTTCTCACAAATGTTTGTAAATGCAGACTGTATCTAGATGCTTGATTTCATATACCTGTGGCAATAGGTTTGATTGAAACACCTGAATTCAATAATTAGGTGTGTCCCAGTTTGTCCATATTATCCATTTAGGGCCAGTTTTACTAACAGCTTGCGCCAGAGCAAACCGTCTTCTGGCGTTAAAATTGTACTGTCAGGTTTTACTAAAGATGCGCAGTGATGAATTAGCGCTGAAAAGGCGTGGACACAGTTATTTTTGCGGCTGACCTTATTGAATATGCATCTGTAAGAGTTTCCCTTTCAGACGCAAAATTTATAGGAAGAGAGTATTCAAATGAGTCACGCAATTTTTGAAAAAAACAGCATATGCTGGTTAGGTATGTTTTGACGCTGGGATGCTGGTTTAAGCTGGTCCTTTGCTGGTTTAAGCTGGTCCTTTGCTGGTTTAAACTGGTCCTTTGCTTGTTTAAGCTGGTCCTTTGCTGGTCCTTTGCTGGACCAGCATAAACCAGCAAAAGGACCAGCATAAACCAGCAAAGGACCAGCTTAAACCAGCAAAGGACCAGCTTAAACCAGCAAAAGGACCAGCATAAACCAGCAAAGGACCAGCATAAACCAGCAAAAGGACCAGCATAAACCAGCAAAGGACCAGCTTAAACCAGCAAAAGGACCAGCATAAACCAGCAAAGGACCAGCATAAACCAGCAAAGGACCAGCATAAACCAGCAAAAGGACCAGCATAAACCAGCAAA